CAGACATACTCTCCAGAGGGTCTATCTAAAGGCCCTCTAGATGCCAGGTGTTCTCCTCTTGGGTAGCCATATAGGTTCAAGTCTGGAGATGACAAAGATACCTAACACTCCTTTCTCCAGTTCCTCTTTGCTGTGCACAAGCACTGTATCTTTGAGTACCCTTTTTTTTCTTTTAGTAGAAAGTCAGTGCCCTTCTTTTGTTAGAGGGGAGCTGGTACACTGTTAATAAGGAGAATCTCCAATAAAGAGGACTCGAAAGGCATGCTGTAAGGTGGGAACAAAGGTTTGGTGTAATTGTATGAGACACCACCAATTAGAGGCCACTAAAACACGCTTACATCCGCCAGCTTTAGTAGGTCCTCCATATCACCTCTAGCTGGTGGCTGTGTACCTGCCACTTCACTCACCCTTATATCCCCCTACTCAATGTAGAAAGCTGAGCCTGATAGGATGTGGCCATGTCATAAGGTGGGGTGGGCTGTGGTTACTGATAAAGGTTAGGGTGCTTTTGCTTTCTTTCTTACTACTTTATGGCTTCCAGAAGCCAGAGCCAGAAAATATGAGGATGTGGTACCAAAGGCCAGGCACAGGCTTTGGAGTCAGGTAGACTTAGCTTCAAAGCCCAATTCTTATTTACCCTTGCATGACCTTAGCTGGGTGACTCAATTTCAGAGATACAACATCACTTCCTTTCACCCAGCCAGCTCTGAGGCTGCTGTCACTATTAGTTAGGTCTTGTTATAATCTTGGGATTTTGAGTGAAAAATTCGTTATTTGAGGATTTTCAACTTTGCCATACTAAAGAGCCAGCTCTAGATTTGGATATTGGTTGGAATTGTTTGACCTAACAGGGTTGCTGAGGATTAGAGAGATACTGTTTACAAAAAAAGTGCCTGCTGCTTAAGAAGCCGTAGTTTCTCTTTCTTGAAAGACAGGTATATATTGGGCCATCAATCTACTAAATAGTGTTCCCACCTTCCTCTGTCTTTTCATTGCTTTATTACCACAATAATCCAGATGTAAGGGAGAAAGTATGAACTCTGTGCTGGGGTAATAGAGATAAAGAGAAGGTCTTTGATTTTATTTTCCAAAAAGGTCACATAAGAAAATAGAAAAATTCGATCCTTTAGACAAATCTATAAGATACCTTGCTTTCTTTTATTAACAGTAGTGGTGGCCACATTTAGGAGGAAATGGAGATCTCTAAAAGGCTGACAAGTGTGTGCAATCTTTATTCAGAATTTTTAGAGACATGACAAAACCTTGACTATATATTGAATAAATATTGAATATATATTGAATAAATATTTGGTAACATAAAAAATTAAACATTTCTGCATGGAAAAAATAGTGAATAAGATGAAAAGATGAACATCCAACTGGGAAAACATAGTTGCAAATATAGAATAAACAAGGCTATTTTCTTTTACACAAAGATCATTTAGAGTATTAAGAAGACAGTGAATATTTTTAAAAAAGACATGAATAGATGATTCACAGACAAAGGAATTCAAAAGGCCAAGCTTTCAAAATGTTAACTTTACACAAATAGAGAGACCAAGTTTAGAACATGAGCTAGCACTTTTACCTAGCAAGTTGGCAAAGATTAATTGCTATGTAGCATGCTATATAACATGAGTGAAGCATGTCTGTTGTTTGAGTAGAAATTGATGAGAAATTTTAGGAAGATAATTTGGCAATATCCTAAATTAAAAACACATCCTCAGAGCCAGCAATTCCCTGTGTTTACAAAATATACCCAAGGACACCAAGAAACTTTACTTAGAGAGTGTGGAGAAGAAAGAGGTGTTATTTGTGTACTGTTTGAACTATATATCAAGTGTTTGTATTTTATTATTTTTTAAAAAGTTAAAATTTTTATCCAGAGATAATAGCGTGCTTAGCAGTCAAAGAAACATCACCATTGACCCGATAGTCTCATTGAAATCCCATAGTTGGTACTCAAACATTTTAATAAATGAACTATCAATGGGCAAATTCAGCATGAGACAGTTTCTTCAAATATCAGATACTTACAGAATGTCCTCTCTGACTGTAATACTGGGCTCTCTGCTATGTGGTTTTGTCCTTTAAGAAACCTGCCCTTGGGATGTTGTTTTCTTGTGCCACAGTCTTTATCCTGCTCTGTCCCAGGCCTGCAGATGTATGTGTCTGTCCTTCACACCCCATCACATCCTCATATGAGCTCTACTCTGGGCTTCCGAAATGTCCTGGAAAGTTCTCAGTGGAAGTAAATCTTGAGCTACCAGTAGCAATAGGTAGGATTTGGAGTGGCCAAAAACTAGGAGAGAGGAGCAACATAATAAGACTGGAATAAGGTAATAACACATAATGTTAAGGATGTTAGCTATTTGTTGATGGCTTACTACAGTGATGGCAAACGTTTAGAACTCTCAGTGATATGAATGACCTGCTGCTGCATTCATGCCATAGGTTTGCCACTACTGGCTTACATTATAAAATGTACCTAAGGACACATATACACATTTAACATTTTCCATATTCATGTAAGCCTCACAACTGCTAGGAAAATTTGGCATTATGAGCCGTGTTCTATAGGTAGGGTGACATCCCAGAGAGCCTTGTGTGGCCTATGGCACACACGTAATGAAACAGCTGAGCTGGAAATCATGAGGCCTGCCCACCATCTCTAAGGTCCCACACTTAACCACGGCTTTATGGCAGACCGTCACGCTTAGTGTAGATGTGGGTACAATGAGGGAGAGTCTGTTCATTGCCCTGAGATCACCTTAAGATTTCTGGAGTCATGATGCTGGGCCTGCCTCAGATTCTGGAATCAGAAGGAGATGATAGTCCTTGGCTGTGGTAGTTGTCCTGTATTTGTGGAGGGGGTATTGGGAAGAGGGATGCTGTTCCAGAGGGGTTTGACATTTCTTTCTGGGAATTTTCAGCAGTCCCTTATTATTTGTCATTTCCCTTCAGTCCACCAGAAAATATGGCAAAACCACATTCCTGGTAGAGCCGGGGCCCCCCAGTGAATCCAGCTGGGCTGGCCTTGGACGAGAACCAACCAGGGATGGCCTGGCTGCCTCAGTCCTCTGGGTTCACACATTCAGCAGATTGTGCATGTCCTGGGCCTGAGAGTGCTGATGAGGCCATTCATCTTTGATTGTCCTTTTCATCCCTCATGACAACTGCCACATAGCTGTTTCCTTGAATCTGGCTGAAGCCCCACTACAAGGGAGGTTCAGAACCGGAGTGTCTGGAAAAGTTGCCCATGGCCATGACGGGGCAAGTCCCCCCAGATGGGTTGGTGTTGCTTTAGTGAGCAAGCAAGTGTGCTGAGTGGTGGGCCTTCTCCAGACACTACGCAGGGAATGGAAAATTAGTGCTCCTCGGGAGGAATGCTGAAAGTCACTGGAGCTGATTCCTGTGGCTTTTCTTGGATAGATTTTTATAGTCTTCTCGCTGTTTGAGCTTGGGAGACTCAAGTGTAGGTGTGGGGAAACATTTGCTGGATAGAACCAATCTCACACTTACCGAATGTGTCTTGAGTTCTTGGTACAATGCTGATTGCTTGAGGCCCATTATCTAATAATCTTCTACCTTACAACAACCCTGTGAATGAAGTATGATGTTCCTATTTTAGAGATGAGCCAGTTGAGACTTAGGGCCCAGGAACTTGTTTCTGCTAAAAAGGATTCTTGCATAGGCAATATGGGTTCCATATCTAGTTTCCCATTGTCACCTGACAGCTGGCTGTGTGTGCAGCTGAGTCCTGAGGAGTCTCCAGTAGATGAGGTCTGCTCCAGGTTTCCTCTCCGTACTCTAAAGACTGGATGGTGTTGCCATGGAGATGGCAAGATGTAGCTTTTCTCAGGACCAAAGTGCTAAAGGCAATGAGGAAACCCAGATCCAGAATAAGCCTTGCAGTTTATTTAGTCAGAGCTCATGCCTGGGTTTCCATTTGGCCTTATTTCAGTGGCAGGCCTCCATTGGGAGAGGGGCTGAATGCCGACATGCCCTCGTATCTTTAGAGCAGGTTTTCAGGCAGCCATTACCAGTTGAGGCTGAGGTGTGGGCAAGCTGCCTCCTCTCCTGGTCCTTGCCTGCCCACTGCTCACTTGCCAGCCACAGCCCTCTCTGGGCTCCATGCCTCAGCACTTTCATTCTGTGTCATACAATGGAGGCACTTCCCTGTAGCTGGCCGTATTATTTTCCCAAATCTGGATGTTTCCTGCCTGCACTGCTTATTTCCTGGCAGGAAGGACCTCTACTTTCCTGGTGTTTGTGGAACTTTTGAGGAGTCCCCTTTCTCACTCCCTCACAGCTCTATGGCTCAAGTGGACCAACTGAGGGTCCCAAATCTTGTCATATACACTCTAGGGTCAGCATCCTCTTCCTGTCTAGTAAGCCTAAGCTCCTTGGGGAAGGGGCTGCAGAATTTACTTGGTAGGCTCCTGAATTTATAGCTGGTTGGATCCCACTTCATTCCATCATGTGAAACTCATCCCGTTGTAGGACATTGCCATCATAGTATGAAAATATTGGACAGGGGCCACGGTTTGGCAGCAGGTCTGGGGCCTACAGACCTGCAGAGCAGTAGGCTTGCTGGAGCCCAGGAGCTCTATGAGACTTGCTGAAGGAGCTGAGGACCTAGTCTTGTGAGGGGGTGAGTGCCCCACTGATGGATGTGAAACTGTCCCATTGTTGATGAGAATTAGAAAAGTAATGTTAAAGTGCTTAGCATTAAGAAAACCAAACATAAATATGTGTAGAAAAAAAATCCACTGATGACCTTATATCACCCATAGATGACTATTGCTTATGGAAAGACTCAGGGTTTTAAGTCATGATTTGTCTCTGGGAAGCAGCTTGGTCTTGTCTTTTTTTTTTTCTGTACCAGGGACCAAACTCGGGACCTTGCGCTTGCAAGACAGGCTGCGGAACCACTGAGCTGAATCCCCGGCAGATCTTAATCTTTCTTAAAACTTTAATGGTCCTTCCTTTGTCTACAGAACATGGAGAGTTCCTTGCCCTGGACCTTGGAGGGACCAATTTCCGCGTGCTCTGGGTAAAAGTAACAGACAACGGACTCCAGAAAGTTGAGATTGAGAATCAGATCTACGCCATCCCGGAGGATATCATGCGAGGCAGTGGCACTCAGGTAGGATCCTTTTCTCAGGAAAGGTCCTGCTCTACAAATACCTGCTGGGGATGTTCTTTATGTACCTTCTCTTGCTGCTGTTGACCCATGGAAAGATGAACCATCAAGACATTCCTGGAAACTAGCATAGCTGGAGGGACTCATGTCAGCTGGACCTCTGGCTCTTCCTGCTGGATTTCGTACCTAGTGGGGTATGATAATAAAAGGAATGAGTTGGGGAGAAAGATTGATATAAGATGCCTTTCCAGCATTGTTGTGTCATGGGTCTCAGGCTTGGGAGAAGTGAAGCCTTTTGTTTTCTATTTGCTGTTCCTTCCACCAACCAGGCCATTCCTGGGAAAGGAATTTCTGATTATGAGCAGAGCAAGTGAGGGAGATATTTTTTGATCCTTTATTTGTCTTTGGGAATGGCCTTGAGGGTAAACCTCCTTTCTTGGTTAAATACTGGGGTGGGAGGAGGAGGCAGTGTCCTAGGACAGTGTGTTACATGGCTCTAATACAATGTCTGGAAGGACATAGAGCGGGGAGGCTCTTCCACTGTCTCCTCCATTCTTGCCATGCTGAGGTGCTAAAGAGGTTGGCCCTGTACTCACTAGTCTGGGTTTGTGATTCTGGGCAAGTGAAAGCACCCAGCAGAGCCTAGATTTATCCATCTGTAAAGAGAGAGGTAATAGAACCAGATTGTGGTGAGGATTAGAAGAGAAGATGCATGTTCAGGATTTTGCACAGTGCCTGGCACCTGAACTGGTACTCTTACTGCTTTTCCTTAGGAAGTTTTGTCTGTTCATCTAATTGCTTCCTCCTATTCTGCTCCTGGTCTCTGTTGCAGCCATTGCTCTATTCCCCATCATGGTGGCTGTGGTCACTTTTTTCCCATTGGTTCTACAGTGGATCCTTGACTTATGAACTCAATTCGTTTGTGAGGGCTGGTTGTAACTCAGGTTGGTCAATTGAAGGCCCAGGCTTCTCTACACAGCCTTCAAAGTTCCTTTCCTGTATACAGGCAGATCTCAGTGTCCTTAGAGAGACAATTGGCCCAAGATTTCTCAGTTAGCCCCACACAGGAAAGGGTATTGTAATGTTCCTTCCAGATCTCTTTAAGGTTTAAGTCTGTATCTGAGACCATCTGGAAGCACAAGTGGCCGGCATTCGCATTGTAACTCAAGACTTTGGTTGTAAGTTAAAACTAAAATTCTGGTCATAACCCAAGTTGTTCGTATGTCAGGCTGATCGAGTGTCCACTGTATCTCCATTCTGAGCCCCAACCCCAGATTACAAATATTTGAGAACCAAGTAAACAAGACAAAACCAAAAAGTTTCTCTGTGTTTCTGAAAAAGACTTGCAATGCGATGATTACATGTTGGGTGGATTTTTCTCATCTCCATGGCCTCCTGTTCACTCTTCATTCAGCAACACAAAATGCTCAGGCACCTCACAGCTTCTGCAGCAAGGGGTCTCCTAAGAGCCAGACAATGGCTGTGGACAATACAGATGGGTCTGTGGTAATCCAGAGAGGGAATTCATTTCAGACATTCAAGATCTGAGTAAAGTTCTTTGAAAAACTTAATTTAAAATCCCTCAAACCTCACCCAGTTAGAGGGTATAGAGAAAGGTAATTCTATTCTTAATATATTATATGAATAAAATGTTTTGGTTCAAATAAAAAAATAAAAAGTATGATGTCTACCTGGAAGAAACAATAGCATTATTGGTGTATTACAAAGGTTTTGAATAAATGGGAAAAATACTATACAAAAATGAAACAGAAAACCAGAAGATAATATAGACAGGTGTCTGTCACCCTCAGGAAGAGAAATAATGCTATATGCCTAAAAACAACAAAATATTTGGAAAAAAATAGAAATTCAAAGGAGCTATTTAGTGATATAATTAACTGGTGCTATTTTTCATATATATATATATATATATATAATAAAAGTATATATATTTCCCTCCTTTTGGATATTAGCTATAGGTATTTTAATCAAAGGAAAACATGGATTTAAAAAATGTGATTTAGTTAAACCAAGACCAAAACCACCAAGGGCCAAACTTGCAAGAGGCTCTTGAACTGAGAACCTGGGCAGTGTGGGTCCCAGGTAGAACCTGTCTTCTGGCACATTGATTTCCATTTCAGAGCGTTGGTCCACAAACTTGAAGAGCAGCCACATAAGAGTTTTAAGGTGTATCTTGTAGAAAGGGAAATGGGCAGATCCTCAGACCAACAAGGAAAAGAAAATCTTTCTAACTTCATAAAATAATGCCCTTTGAACCTTTTTATGGCAGGAAGGTATTAGCTCTTTTTCCAAGCATCTTATCCTTAGGTCTTCAGCTAACAGAGACAACCTTCCAGTTCAAGGAAGCAGATGGTCTCCTCTTTTAAAAAAGGTATAAGTTCTTTGAACCTAGCACTGGCGATGGGAAATTTGAGCAATGATAGACACGTTCACTAACTGTCCTGTGCAATATGTTAACTTCGGCCATCTGTGACATTGAGCCCTTGAAATATGTCTAGTTTGACTGAAAAGCTGAATTTTAATTTTTAAAAGTTCTGCTGGGCATTATGGTACAGCTTGTTTTCTTAGTGGCTTAGGAAGTTGAGACAGGAGGATCATAAATTCTACTCCAGCCTGGACAACTTAGCCAGACCTGTCTCAAAATAAAAAATGAAAAAAAGGTCTGGGGATGTAGGTTAGTAGGAAGGCTTTTTGGGTTCAATTCCCAGTACTGTTAAACAAACAAATGCATTAAAATAGTCACAGATGGTCAGTGGCTACTTTGTGGGCCAAGGCAGTATTTAGAGCTGCTTTCCTGCCTGTTTTCTCTGCCTCCTCCCATTAGGAGTGCAGCTAGAGAGGGAGCAGGGGCCAGGGCTGGTGAGGGGAAGCCATCTTGCTTCTCTGCTTTCTAAGGGTCCTTCCATCTCCAGTGATTGCTTTACTTCTTTGCACAGCTTCTGCAACTTCCTTTTTTTTTTTTTTTAAAATAATAGAGCTAAGTTTGACTAGTGAATAAGAAGATGCTATGTATTTGTTTAATATATAAATATATCCCTCAATTTGTCTTCTGCTGCCTAAAAAAAGAATAGAATTTGCTGGATATCTTTCTGGAAACTCTATTTACATATTAAAATTTGTCAAAGGAGCTGGCCCATGTGTGTGGGCGAGGCCTTTCATAAGAGAGCCCTGCCTTAGTCCAGCACTCAAGGATGTTTTTATTTTGGAGGTCGAAGGTTCAGGTCTGCTGGGGTTAACTTTGCAGGGGATCAGATAGAGGAACAGAATCTGACAATGGAGGTCAGTTAAAGTTGGCCACCTCCCCAGACTGGTCTGGCTTTGCCTTCCTGTGCCCCTGCCCTTGACCATACATACCCAGGCATCTGGGGCCAGTGGGCCTGTCAACCTCCCTCCCTGAACCTCTTATTTCCTGTGTAAATGCAAATAAGGTTCTGAGGTTTATACTAGCATCAGATCACCTGGAGGGCTTGTTAACATATTGCTGAGCCTCCCAGAGCTTCTGCTATCATAGCCTGGGGGTGGTGGTGGTGTGTAATTTACATTTTTAACCTGTTCCCAGGTAATGGCAGGGGTGCTGCTGGCTCAGGATTACCACTTTGGGAATCTTTAGTGGAGAAAAGATACTTGTTCTCTTCCATTCCTCTCCCTCTTCCCTGGCTTTTGAATATTGCTATCTAGTCAACCTGGTCCTTGGAATCTGCTCAGGCTCCTTGGCCTCTGATTACTTTCTGTACCAGAATGCCCCTTCTTTCAGCTTCTTGGCATCTGGAGAGGCATCAGTTTCTCTCTGAGGGTGTTGAGTGGGCAAGAAAGAAGCCTGGGGGCTGTGGTCTCCAGAGCTGATTTGAAGCCTGGCTTACTATAAACAGCTTTCTCTAAGGCCTAGGAGCTTTAGGTCCTGCTCAGTGTGGCCACAATTGTGAGGCTACCCACACACAAAACACTATTCTGCAGTGCTCTTCATAGAGCATTTGTCTTCCTCTGTGGAATGAGGAGAGAACTTTGAATTGTCCCCAGGGGATTCATTTTCTAGAATGGACAAATATAAAAGTTGCTTATTTTTATTAAGTTGGTTCACAGAATGGGAACAGAGAAAGACCCATTTCTCTCCCAATCATGAGAGACAGGGATGCTAAGGTACTTCTTGGCAGTGAGATGGGCCTTGCATTCTGCAGGATAATCAGCTGGGCATCTGTGATAGAGTCACCAAATGCATGCTGTATTCTCAGGGCCTTTGCTGACTTTCTGATAACTTTGGTTGTGATTCCCCCTGCCCACAGGGTTATTTTGAGAGGAACCTGGGTAAATGGCTTACATGGAAGATACCATTTGATGAGTGCTAAGTGTTAAGCCCTTATACATACTGACTCATTTAATCCTTGTGGTAACCCTGCAAGAGCAGGTTCAGTTATCATTCCCATTTTATAGATGACCGAATGAAGACATCAGAGGCTAGGATAAAGATCTGGCACAACTAGTTTCTTTCTGAATCAAAAAGTTCCCTCTACTAACCTCTGTGCTTTTCTGCCTCCCCACACATCTTCCTGTGTTATGTGTCCTTAGCTGTTTGACCACATTGCTGAATGCCTGGCCAACTTCATGGATAAGCTACAAATCAAAGACAAGAAGCTCCCACTGGGCTTTACCTTCTCCTTCCCCTGCCACCAGACTAAACTAGATGAGGTAAGAAGGTTCTCCAAGGTTCTCTGATGTTTTCAATGCATCGGTTTTTGGCCTGGGAGGACTGGGAAAGAATTCCTGAGTTACTTGCTTCTGGAAGACTCCCAGCGTGAGGTGTTGGGCAGACATTTCATTATTGAGAGTTGATAGTTGTGTGTGTGTATGTGTGTGTGAAGACATTTGGGATATTCCCTATTGCCTTCCACACACTTAAAAACTCTTCTGATCTAAAGTACTATGAGAAAGACCCCTGTAAGATGCTTGGCAGTTGATGGCATGAATCTCTTATTTTGAATAAGAGATTTTGGCAGTTTATAACCCGCTTTTCCCCCTTCTTAGGGGCAGAAGGAATCATTCATTTAATCTCTTCCCAGTCTGAAGCCTGAGTTCTTTCTCTTCCTAGGCTAGTCAAGAGGCAGTCTATAAATTCAGTCATGACTTTAGCCCACTGGCAGAGGTCTCTGCTAATGAAGACTGGTGGAGGCATGTGGTCTGTGTTTTAATTGTGGAGATTCAGTATTCATTCCTTGGTCCTTTCTAGAGTTTCCTGGTCTCGTGGACCAAGGGATTCAAATCCAGTGGAGTGGAAGGCAGAGACATTGTGGCTTTGATCCGGAAGGCCATCCAGCGGAGAGGGGTGAGTGGGACAGAAGCTTGGGCCTGCAGGTTCTGCTGGGTCCACTCTGAAGTCTTTCACTATCTGTCCTCACACTCAATATGAGAAAGTTTTGGAGAAGTTTGCTTCTTCCCTGCTATGTTATGTTTACCCAGGCATTTTGATCCTTCAGTAATTTTTTTTTTTTTTTTTTTTTTTTGTGGTACTGGGGATTGAACCTGGGTCCTTGTGTTTTCGAGGCAGGCGGCGGAACCACTGAGCTAAATCCCTGACTGCCCAGGCATTTTGAGATGAGCATGATGGAAAGCAATCTTAACCTTAGTGCAAGAAAACCCCTTCAGTCCTTAACTATGAAGAAGACTTGACTATTATCTTTAAGAAAGTTGGGATGATGTTGAGATGAAAGTGGAACAGGGCAGAGAGAGGACAACATAAAAGTCTATCATAGGAGGGGTTATTGGGAGGGAGAAAGAAAAGGAGGAAGAGGTGAAGGGAGGGAAGAAAGAAAAGACAGCAAGATGAGTTCTTAGTGCATTGATGGCTACAGACTAGAATATAGAGATGATGTCAGGAAAATTGTCCTCCACGATGGAGATAACTGGTGGGAGTGAGTTGCTGCTCTTTGACTGGATCTAGGCCCAGATTTCCAGCTCTCATCTTTGGCTCTGCATATAAAGGGGCATTTCTGTTACCCTTGAGCTGTATATTTTGCTACTGTTTCTCCATCTTCACATCTGTGTCCTTTCTCTGATGGTGAGCCCTCTCTTTGATCCCGCAGGACTTTGATATTGACATTGTGGCTGTGGTGAATGACACAGTTGGGACCATGATGACCTGTGGTTATGATGACCAGAACTGTGAGATTGGTCTCATTGTGGGTAAGTGAGCACAGTGTGAGCATGGTGCAGTCCAGTGCCCAGTACATGGAGGGTGTGGGCTATAGAGGAAGGAGGTTTGGATGCCTGGATATTTCCTTGTACTTTACATTCTAAAATAATGGTTCAGTCACTTTGGAGGGGAAGAAGAGGGAGATGAGGCGGATGCCGACAATGGAAATAGGTGTTGACTGGTCTCTTGCTCTGCCCAGGCACTGGCAGCAATGCCTGCTACATGGAGGAGATGCGCCACATCGACATGGTAGAGGGCGACGAGGGACGAATGTGTATCAACATGGAGTGGGGGGCCTTTGGAGACGATGGTGCACTCAATGACATCCGCACTGAGTTTGACCAAGAGATCGACATGGGCTCATTGAACCCTGGGAAGCAATTGTGAGTGTCCCTTCCTGTGTGGGTGGTGCAGGGCAGGGCTGGAAGGCTTCGGTTGGGGCCGGCTGGGACAGGGGTTGGTTTTCATGTTGTCTTTATAGTATTAACCTTTTCTGCAAAAGGTTGCCAAGGTACTACTGACTGTCAATCTCTGCCATGGCTCTGAAATCAATAGAGTGGATAAACTAGATCATCCTTCAGGCAGTCACATTTGAAGATCATAGTCTAAGTGTGTGGCCTTTGTCTTTCAACCTTACAGTGCTTGCCTTAGTACTCAATTCATTTGCTAGGGCTGGTTGTAACTCAGGTTGGTCAACTGAAGGCCCAGGCTCCTCTACACAGCCTTCAAAATCTCTCTCCTATATACAGGCAGATCTCAGTGTCCTTAGAGAGACACTGGCCCAGGACTTCTCAATTAACCCCACACAGGAAAGGATGCTGTAATGTTCCTTCCAGGACTCTTTAAGGTTTAAATCTGTGTCTGAGACCATCTGGAAGCACAAGTGGCCAGCACTTGCGTTGTAACTCAATACTTTGGTTGTAACTTAAAACTAAAATTCTGGTCATAACCCAAGTTGTTCATATGTCAAGCTGGTCATAACTCAAGGGTCTACTGTACTTGTAAATTTTCCATAGAACCTGTAAGCAACATAGCAAAGTCATATCTAGATGGTCAAGATTGGGGTCTCTGGAAGTGCCTTTGGTAGCTCTCACTGCATCACTTCCTCAGAAGATGAGGCTGTGACAGGTGGCTGCTTATTTCTGGCCCACAGAGTCCCAGGGCCTCCTGCCCCAGCAGCTGGCAGACCAAGACCTATGGAAAAGCTGGAGAAGGAGCTTTTTGGCTTCTGCTGTGGATCTGTGGTCCAACCATGTCCTGGGGTGGATTGCAGGAAGGACCCCAGCATTTTGCACCCTGAGTACTATACACTCCTGCCTGATCAGACTTGGTATTTTTTGTTTTTCTTTCTTTTTTTCTTTTTTTTTTTTGGTACCGGGGATCGAACTCAGGTCCTTGCGCTTGGAAGGCAGGCTGCGGAAGTTTTTTGTTTTCCTTTTTGGTCACTTTTGATTCTTACACAACATCATTTCATTTTCACATTTGCCGAATGTTCCTATTGGAAGAGCTTCAAACAGGATTGCTTCAAGTGCTGAGGACAGTTGCAAAACACTTTGAGCAGCAGTGCAGGACCTCTGTGGTTCTCTTGGTGCTGTGATCACTTTCGGAAAGCTTTTAGGGCAGATCTCTTCTTGGAGAGGAAAACCAGCCCTATTCCAGATCAGCACTGGTAGCCTTTTTCTTTACCAGAGAGCCCTTGTTTCCTTAGTGCAGGGTTTCCTTTGGTTACAAGCTTTGCTCACATGTTGAAATGTGAGTCCACTTACTTGAACTTTCTTAGGAACATACTGGTTGTGTCTGCCCAGGGTGATGAGATATTTATGAGCTAGGAAGTCACTCAATGTCTGCCTCCGTTAGTGAGACACACCCTTGTCATTCTGAGGAGCCATGTGTCCTTTGAAATGTCCAAAGGGAAAATTGCCAGCCAGTTGGCGATACATCCCTGGCCTTCCATGGACAAGACAAAGTTTGGAAGGACATTATTCTAAATTTTTAATTGTGGTAGCCCTGAAGTCACGATAGACAGTGTCACACTATGGGGACCCACTGACTCCAGGGCACTTTCTCAGGGGGGAGAGGATGTCGAAGTAGACATGCAGAATTTTTTACTGTGGAGGCCAGGCTGCTGCCCAGGCAGGGCCTGTGTTGGTACTATGCATCTCCAGTGAAGCCTGAGCTCAGGGAAATGGGGCCAGTTCTCCCTTAGCTCCAACCCCACCATACCTGGCTTTGGACCTTGAGCCTTGGGGCATGGGCTTCCTCCCTGCGAGATGATGTCCAAATCCTTTCTACACCCTTGCTCAGGGACCTCCATTACTGTTCACCCTAGTTAGTCCAGGCAGTCCACTCTTTAAGAGCCAGATCCTTTCTGAGGGAGAGACTTTCACAAAAAGAAAATCACCAGGCCTTGCTTTACTCTGTCACATAGTCCTAGCCAGAAACACTAATTTCTAAAGAAAACAGTGTCACCTAGTGTTGGAAAACTAAATTATTCCAGCTGCCTTCTCTGTTTGAGGGGTGTCCTCTGCCTCTTCCCTTGTTACCTACCTGCTCAGAAACTTTTAGTGTGTTTACCCCTAGACTCTCCAGCTCTGTCCCAGCCTTCCCTTGTGACCTTTCCCCCTCACCCTAGTCCTGGGTGGTTTTCACAGGAACCTACAGATGAGCTGCAGGGGGGAGTGTAGCGCAAGTTGATGAGTAGCAAGTACTATGCCCTGCATTTAATCAGATTGACATATTTTTTTCTCTTGAAAATATATACTGGGCCTCAACATAAGATTTTATTTCTAAAAATCATCTTGCTGGAGAAAAATTTGTAAAAATCACTTTCCTAGACAAAATTTGCTTTACCTACATCTCAGCTTGTTCCAGAAAGTTCCCTACTTGGCTTGGATGTTACATTTGGCTGCTGAAGGGCTATCAGCGTGAGGGACAGCCCCAGCCCTGAATCTGATTTCTAGACAGTGCCATATAAGTTAATCCTTAACCATACACCAGCCTCTAAGTTATGCTCAAGTGTCCCACGTGTGTGTTTCCCCTCCCCAGGAAGGTTATGTGTTTACTGACAGAGGAACATTGCTGTTCTGTCTCTGTCTCCCTGCAGGTTCGAGAAGATGATTAGTGGGATGTACATGGGGGAGCTGGTGAGGCTTATCCTGGTGAAGATGGCCAAGGAGGAGCTGTTGTTCCGGGGGAAGCTCAGCCCAGAGCTCCTTACCACAGGCAGCTTTGAGACCAAAGACGTTTCAGATATTGAAGAGTAAGCTTCTGCTTCTACCACCTCTCTGTTCACTGGGTCTCTGGATGTGGGCACAGGTGTCTAGGGAATAAGAAAGACGTATTGGCTCTGACCTTTTATGCAGGGCCACAGAGGTCTCACAGGTAGCCCATGGTGCACTCCACTTGCTGGGGTCCCGGCTTGTTGATGATGAGAGTGACACTGAAGTGACTCAGTGCTGGGGACAGTTGGCTCCCAAGTGCAAGGACTGGGGCGTTGCGCTGGGTTGAATGCTGAAGGCATCAGAGAGGGGACTTCAATGATTGTTTGTTTTTGCCTCCATTTCCTTCCCCTGAAGCTCTGACTTCTCATTCCTCATTGGCAATTCTCAAAAAGGACCGTCCCAGCTAGGCATGGTGGCACCCACCTGTAATCCCAGCACTCTGAGAGGCTGAGTCAGGAAGGTTGCAAGTTCAAGCCTAGCCTGAGCAACATAGTGACTTAGTAAAACCCTGTCTCAGAATAAAAACTAAAAAAGCGACTGGGGGTGTAACTCAGTGCAAAGGCCCTGTGTTCAATTCCCAGTACCAAAAACCAAAATAAAACAACAAAAGGACACCATCCTGACCCCTGCTTCCTGGTACAAAAATAGGTCCTTAGATGCCCAGAGGTAGACCCACCTATTCACAGCCCAGCAGGGGCAGGCATGAGGTCCAATTTTTATTTTTCAGGAAACAGTATCACAAGAGTTGGGCCTAGTTGTCTGTTTGTGAGATTTTCTCTTGTAGATTGAGAAGGTCCTGTGGTTTCAGGGGCCAGTTGTAGAGAGGAGGTGGTTTTAGAATCAAAGGGAGCAATGAACAAAGTTTAAAGGATTTTCTTATAAGTGGAAACCCCAGAGGAACTATGCTTTCCTGTTGCTTAGTCCCAGGAGAAGAGTATTCACACTAGCTAGGCATTTCCTCCCATGTGAAGGGTGCTCAGCCAAGGGTGCTCAGCCAAGGTTGCGCCAGCCCTTTACCAGCAGCTTCAGGCACAAATAGCCTGTGGCTGCTTTGGAGTGAAAACAACAGCCGGATTCCCATGCTCAGAGGTGGCTGATGGCAGAGACTCCATCTGTCTGTGCTAACGTGAGCAAATAGCCCTAACTTACCAACTCTGTTTAAAGCACCACAAACAAGGCCTTGTCCTCATTTTGCACATAGAGAGAAATACTAAGTTTTTTTTTAATCGGGGGAAAAAGAGGGCACTAGAGGGGTGAGACAGGGTGAGAGAGAAAGTGAGAGAGAGCACGAGAAAAACCTCAGGTGGCTGTTTTTTATCCCCACTCTGGTCCTACTCCCTCACCCCCACCCCACACAGCAGTGATGAGGGATTCTGCTCTCCCTGGAAATGGAGTTTGCTGGAGCTGAGGCTTCCTTGTGAGCCCACAGTGGTCATACACTTGCCCACAACATCATCTTTCTGTTTTCCAGGGAGAAAGATGGCATCCAGAAGGCCTACCAGATCCTGGTGCGGCTGGGCATGGATCCCCTGCAGGAAGACTGTGTGGCCACCCGCCGGGTCTGCCAGATCGTGTCCACACGCTCTGCCAGCCTGTGTGCAGCCACACTGGTTGCTGTACTTCGGCGCCTCAAGGAAAACAAGGGCGGGGATCGGCTGCGCTCCACCATCGGTGTTGATGGCTCTGTCTACAAGAAGCACCCTCAGTGAGTCAGCCTCCCTGCCTGGAGGTGATGGAGACCCGAGAGCACTTGGGACTGGTGACTCTATGGGGCCGTCCAGTGTGCATTCCATGGAGTTGAGGTTCTGTGTAGAATAAGTGTCCATTGAGCAGGTGGGAGCTGGGTGATGTCATCCCTGCTGTGTGTAGAGGTGATTTCTGGAGGCTGCTGAGACGGGCTCTGCTCAGAGCTCCCCTAGCTCCTGGGTACTCTCCCTGTCACCATTTTCCTTATGAGTTAGTCTTTCGTTCTTTACTCTTGCATGACTCTTAGTGGGTCCTACAGGTGCTGTGTCCTCTGCTAGGGGCCACTCTAGCCTAGTGGGTTACTCTTGGCTGATTTTGATATTAAATTGATCCCACTTTGTCCATGTTTTGATCCCTTCCATATATATATATACCATATATACCAAAATGCTCAAATTTCAACTGGGACCTGGGAGATACTTCTCAGTTGTGCTCACGTGTTTTCCCATCATTTTCTCTTAATGGGAGTGCCAGGTCAATGGACCTTCATTAACTGAATGGACTACTATGAAAGCTGTAACCTGAAGCTTCCCTAGTCTCCTAGCCTAGAGCCTCAGGAACTTCAGTGTACATATGAATCCTATGAGGATCTTGTTAAGAGGCTGATTCTGGGTGAGAAGTTCTGGAATGAGCTGGGATTCTGTATCTCTACCAGTCCCTAGTGAGGTGCTGCCCACAGACGACACATGGCTCAAAGCGAGTGAGGAAGTTTCTCTCTCACCTGGAGAGTTACTTGCTGAATTTGCCTGTTGTGCTCAGCTCTTCAGATGCTTTTGAGATCTTTGGCAGAAACAGGCCAGAAGAAAAGCATTTCTACCTGTTTAGTGTCTTTCCTAGGCAACATCAAGACAAATGATAGGAATGAAAAGTAAAATGGCATCAGAGCCATGTGAGTCCTTCAGGCTGCCCCAGCAGAGGTTGATTGTAGCTTACTGAGCAGAGGAACTGGTGTGCAGGTCAGCTTGCTGAGGAAGAGGAAGTCTTATGTGACTGTAAGCTGGAATTGGTGGCTTGTTAGAAGGGTTCTTTCCTTTCAGTGGGGGATAAACTCAGGCAGGGTTGGTCACAATTGAATACCTGAAATTTTGCATAGTGACCTCTAATTTAGGAGAATGGAGAGAGGAGGTTGAGGATAGCATCTGCTTCCACAGGGGTCTCCTAGGATTTGGGGTTGAGGCAGTTAGCCACTGGGCAACCATTTGCACCCCAGCTCTTAACTGTGGACACCTGTCTCTCAACCCCTTTGGTGACTGTAGTTTCGCCAAGCATCTTCACAAGGCTGTGCGGAGGCTGGTACCTGACTGCGACGTTCGCTTCCTCCGCTCTGAGGATGGCAGTGGCAAAGGGGCAGCCATGGTGACTGCAGTGGCTTATCGGCTGGCTGACCAACACAGAGCTCGCCAGAAGACCCTTGAACCTCTAAAGCTGAGCCGCGAGCAGCTGCTGGAGGTCAAGAGAAGGATGAAGGTTGAAATGGAGCGAGGTCTAAGCAAGGAGACACATACCATTGCCCCTGTGAAGATGCTGCCCACCTATGTATGTGCCACTCCCGATGGCACAGGTATGAGGCAGGTGCCCTGACCTGGTACTGATGCTCAGAGAGGGCTCCCTGAGCATTACTTAGCCATGGACTTTTGAACCAGAATGTTTCTTCAGCTGTTGTACTTTAAGTGAATGTTAGTGTTCCATGTAGTCAACAAGGGGTTCCTCTGCTAAAAATCAAACAGTAATATTAGTCAGTAGTTACTGAGTGCTTGGTCTATGTTAACACACCCATTGTGTATTAATTCATTTAGTATTTGTTAACTGTTAAAACTTAGAAATTTCCTTGATTGACAAACTGCCATGTTTGGCAGAAAACAGAACTTGCCCCAAGATCATACAATTGTTAAATGTCAGAGCTGGAATTCAAACCTAAGACCTCAGGCTCCAGAGCCGTTTCCCATAACCATCACATTGGTCTGGGTTAGGAGGCCAAAAACTATATTCCATAGGTGAATTTGACCCTTTCCTGTTTTTGTAAATAAAATTTTATTAGTACAGAGCCATGCAATCCATCTATGCAGTGTTCATAGCTTCATACTACTCTGCCAAAGCTGAACGGTTGAGACAGATTATATATCCTACACAGTTTAAAATGTTAGTTGTCTTCCCTTTACACAAAGAGATTTTTGACCTCTTATATAGGTCTTGTAACCTGAAAAATTATCTAGTCTCTTCCCAATTCAGACCAAATGACTGATGAGGAGGTCAGTAGAGCATGGTTAGTGAGGTTGCAGGTGGAGTTTGGTTCCTGCTCAACTTTTTCTACCATTTTAGCCCTGAACAAGTAACTTTGCCAGCTCAGCCAGATCTTGGTTCATTCCATGAGAGGAATGAGATGCCTCCATCCAAGCAATGCCTAAGGGTTGGATGAGGACTGTATGCGAGGGTTTTTCCGCACATTGAAATTGCCCAAAAAGGGAGAGTTTCTCACTTCAAGACTTTTTTTTTTTTTGAAAATAGATTCTATTTTCCACCACCCAGGTTTGACAGATGTCAACATCACCTGTATTTCTTTTTTTTTTTTTTTTT